CGATGTTGAATGGGTATTTGTTGGTGTACCCTAATCTAAGCGACGATTTTTAGATCGGAGCGATGATTTGAGCACTGTGCACATCGGTGCTAAGCCGTGGCTTTGGGGTGGAGGATTTTTTTATGTAGGGATTGTGGTTGTGGTGTGGTAGTGTCAGTGGCGTGGTTGAATTGGTGGTGGGGAGGGTGCTAGAGGCGATGTTGCTACAGTGACGGTAGATGCATTGATTCAATGGTGCTAGTAGTGGTTGTGACCAATTATATACTTTGTTCCGTTGGTGCCATGTATTGGTTTGTTTTTTGTCGAGAGGTGGTAGTGGCAATGGTGTTGTCTACTGTGCGACTGGAGGAGGCAGTGGAGAGGGGTGGTCACAATTTGTGACCTTAGTATTGGTCGTTGATGGGGATCGAGGTGGGATGTCTAGTGTATGTGACCAACAATTTGTTAACCTGTAACCCACAATCTAATTGTGACCTAAAAATTCTGAAATCTGTGACTTAAAAGTAATTTTTTTGATCTGTGACCAATTAATTGTGACTTCGAAATAATCTGTGACCTACAAAAATTTTTATTTTTGATCTCGAAATAATTTGTGACCAGTTAATTTGATGATACACAATAAATAAATCTGTGATCTTTAAGTACATATCTGTGACCATGAATCGTAATATTGTAACCTTAATATATTTCATTAATAAATATTTTTAATTAATTAACTAATAAACCTGATTTTTGCATTTTATAAATTTAAGACTTGGTTTTTTAAGTCTCCATACTTAATACAGGATTTATGAATTTTTCCCATCAAATAAGGGCTTAGAGTGGGAAATTGATGGGTTAAAAATTGAGCCCCATTCTTCTCCATTCTATAAAAAAATTTTTTTTTTTTAAACTCATTTTTAATCACACAGTTTTCGAATAAATAATTTTACACGTAAATTCAAATTTTTTTGAATTTTTTTTTAACTCCACGCTATTCAAAAAATTACTATGCTAAACTTATTCTTTAACAAAGTAGGGCTTAAACACACCCTAAAGATTACACGATAGTTTCATGTTTCTCGTCAAATAATAGTTCCAAATTTGCCACCCGGGGCACAGCTCAACTGGTGGATCAATCAACATTAGTCTTGCTTCCAGCGACAGGGTGGAGGTTCGAATTCTGGTGGAAACCTACAGTCAAAAATTTGGTATAGAGCAATCACTTTGGAGGAGGATCTCTTGTGCGTAGAAGTGTACAGACGGTGGGGGAACTTGTGATCCAGTTGAGGCATATCCCGCGATTTAACCCCCCTCCAAAGTTCTAAGGGCAAGAGTTTTGGGGATCCAGAATTTAGTCTAATGTAAATTGGGATACCTGAATATCAAAAAAAAAAAATAATAATAATAATAGTTCCAAATTTGTTATGTTCTTGGCTCGTTGATCGATTCACTTTGAACGTGTCAAAACTTTATCTTTTCTTATCATATGAGAAGACGTTACACTGCACATTGAAGTGTCAAAAAATATATTAATGTTTGACCAAAGTGGCTAATTCAATAATTGAACTGATGAGTTACTAGTTCTAAGTCATACAATTCTGATTAAATCATTTTTAATTAAAAAATATATATTACTTAAAAGTATAATATAACAATGCAAATTCAAAAGCCGAATAATAAATTTTGAGCGTTTTTAAATTAGTCTTAGGTTTCTTCAAATTAGATCACTAGTTTATTATAAGAAATTGTATTGATTGAGATGTGTTATCGTCGTTATTTTTGCAGATTGGTTGATCCTATTTGAATTTTAAAATTATGTTTTAATCATATGTTTAGTACCAGAAATATACACTAAAATAATAAATATTTAAAGTTCGGTGGTTGTTTCGTATACGAAATTCTTATTCGATGGAGGAACAATATCACCCTTTCTATATTCATTACTATGTCCTGGGGCATTTAGTCTTAGGGAGTGTTTGAAAAAAAAAAAAAAAAAAAAAGATGGAATTGGAATTGGAAATTCCAACTTTTGGTGTTTGATACCTTATATTTTCCATGGAATTACATTTCTTGAATTTCTTGAAACTTGGAATTTTCCTTGTTTTGGTGGAATTTGAATTCTCACCATATGGTGAGAATTCAAATTCCTCCCTACTGTAGCGACTTTTTTTTTTTTTTTTACTAATGGAAACAAATTCTAAGAATTATTGTAAAAAAAAATATTTTCCTTTAATTGACAATTTTCATGTAAAACAAAGTCAAACGAACATAAAAAAACACTTATGAGAGAAAACTGTTTTAATTAAATGAAACTATTCACAATTTACTCCAATTTTGAAAGGGTTTTATTAACATCATCATGTGTCCCCATTTTAAAAATAGAGGAAGTTACAAAAAAAAAATGTCCATTTTCACATTGTAATTTGCGAAAATGTTCTAAATTTGTTTCGTTTGCGAATTTGTCCATTTTGCTAAAATTTAGATCAAAATGCCCTCAATAATAATTTTGGATTCCACTAGAAAGACAAAAATTTTCATATGAATTAAAAATTACGTTGGCAAATAGAATATTGAAAAAAAAAAAAAACAGCAACAACAAAATCTACAATAGATATATTTGAAGTAGTAGTAATGTCAATCTCTGCATCAAATGCTAAGGGCGTCTCTAACCCGTATTCCATTGCACCAAATTTCACCAATTTACACCATATTTATGGTGCACCACGCAACATTATCCATTTACACTATTTTGCATTAAAATGGTTAAGTACACTTTTACCCTTCTTTTCCGTTTTGTACCAATATTTTTATGGATATTTTTGTCCATTTTTGTTATACAACAAATTTTAATTCTTAAATTATTATTATTATGGAATAAATTTTAATCATGCAATTAATAATAATTAAGGAAAAATTTGAAATAAAGTTATTAAGAACCCGTTTGATTCCCATTCTTTGGCAACAAAAATGAAAAATATGACCGTTATCCATTACATTAAGCCACCATATTTGACTTTTTATATCTTGTGTAGGTCCCATAATAATTATATTTTTTATTCTCATTCTTGGAAAAATGGAAATCAAACGGGCATAAATTTTAAAATGTGACAAACACGATTATTTAAAACACATGTATTGCGTGATATAATGACTGCATAGATTGAAACTATTCAGGCTCCATTTTTATATAGAATGCACTTTTTCCTCCCATCTTTTTAACAATACATTTTTCAATAAAAATAATATTACACGTAAATATAAAACTTTTCCCTCTTTTTTTAACCACACATTTTTCAAAAAATAACTTTTCCAAAATATATTTTTCTCCAAAAACACACCTTAATGAAGCCAAACATGGACATTATTATGCATAACATGATAATCGAAGACGAGCGTGATCTTTATGCATTAATTCAAGATTGGATGGAAGCGTAAACTCCATGAGGTTGAAGACGAAAATCGTCGTTTTCAAGAATTCCTTGCTTGTCATAGACAAATTAAAGATAAAGAGGCCCACACTGCACTTCAAAATGCATTAATTGATCATTTATGAGATAAATATTACAACACTAGTTCGACTTCGTAATTTCATGATATTAGGATTTGAAACTTATTACACTCTTTTTTTAATATTTTCTTAGTTGTGTTTATATCTATTAATTGTAATATTTTTTTAAATTTATTAATGAATTCAATATATCCGTCAACTAAACATAATTATTTATTTAGTTATTTATGTAGTAAAAAATAAATAAATGTTTTTTAAGATAATAAATTGTTAAGAACGATAAGAAATGATGAAACGATGTTAACTTTTGATATATTGGGTTGGAGATAATTTTTAGTTTAGTGCAAATTGTGCAAAATTTACCTCAAATTTTGATACAGGATTGGAGGTAGCCTAACTTCTACTAATCTGAAAATCTTGTTCTTAACAAATGAAATTTCAACTGTCGAGATGTTCAGAGATTAAATATCAAGATTTAGTTTTGAAAAAACTATGTCAAAAAATAAATCTATCTTTGGATCAACTTATTGTTCATAAAATAAAATAAAAAAATTATAATTGTCACATATTTATTATCATATGCGTGCATATAATTTGGCCAAGCATTTACCTTTCTCTGGACCGGTCAATATCAACATGAATTATATACACACAATCATCTTAATATTTCAAATAAATTAATTTAGACAATAGAGGTTTCTTTGTTAACATCTTGTTCAATCAACCTATTTTAAAATATTAGACATCCGAAAGAAGTTAATTACAACAAAATTTGAATTTGATTGTTATTCTAAAAGAGATTTTTCGAAATTCACATTCTGGCCAGATGATATCTTTACTCGCCTGGGTCGAGCGCCACAGCTCTTGCTTTGAGCGCTCGAGCACTAGCCTTGTGGCCAACGAGCGAAAACTTGAGTGCCAAGGTAGTGCTCAGAAAGTGATCGACTTACTATTCTAGCTGCTCGAGTACTACCTTGGCCACAGCAACAGAGCTGCAAGAGTTTCAAGTTCCAAAAAAAAATAGAAAATAAAAAATAAATAAAATTCCAAAATTTGAAATTTAGGGATAAAATTTGCATCGTAAATTTTCATAATTCAAAGTACAAATGTCTTCCCTAACATTATTTCTTAAATCTCAATATTTTAACATGAAATTGGCTTTGATACCGCTTAAAAATTCTTTTCCTATATCGCAATGATCCTCTAGTCAAATCA